CAGAATGGTTTGATCCCTATTCAGCTGAATTCCTGAGACCAGACGAAATCCAGGTCTCCTACTCCTCCGCCATCTTACTCCGCCCCCTCAAATCTTAAGATATGTCTTCTAAAGGGTATAGATTTTTTGTTTTGTTTTAAGATTTTATTTGAGAGAGAGAGAGAGATAGCAAGAGAGAAAACAAGTGGGAGGGGAAGAGGGAGAAGCGGACTCCCCACTGAGCATGGAGCCTGATGCAAAGCTCATTCCCAGGATCCTAGGATCATGAACTGAGCCAAAGGCAGATGCTTAACCAACTGAGCCACCCAGGCACCCTTAAAGGGTATAGTTTACACTTAAAAGAAGAAAACAGCTCTTTGACCTAACACAAAATATCCAAAGCAAACTTTGAAAGGCTTTCTATCTTCTATCACTAGTGTTCTCACACCTTCCAGCCAACAACTTTGCAATTAAGATAATTTCAGGGTGTTTTCCACCAAGGCTTTAAAACGGCAATGGAGAGAAATGAAAAATATTCAACCAGACTGAGCGTTGTATTATGGTTTTATCAACAAAACATTATTACTGTATGTTTTCAGCCTAGACACAGAAATAGTTACATCTAATACCATTTTCATTGTTGTTGCTGTTTCTAGTTTTATTGAGATATATAATTGATACACAACATTGTATCAGTTCAAGGTATATAGCATGATTATTTGACAAATGAATACATATGTGAAATACAACATGAATACATGTGAAATGATGGCCACACTAAATTTAGTTGATGACCATCACCTTACATAGGTACAATTTTTTTCTTCCCATAATAACTTTTAAGCATTACTCTCTTAGCAACCTTCAAATATACAATACAGTGTTGTTAACTATAGTCATCCAATATTGTTTATAGTGCTTGTGGGGTGATTATCATCATCTATTGAATGTTACCATTGATAATATTTAGTTAAGATCTTATTTTGGATCAGCTTCTAAAAACTTTTACATGGATGATCTCATTTCATCCTACAGATGCCATATGAATTAGATACTACAGTTATGCCTATTTTGGAGAAGAGTAAAGAGAGGATTAAAGAATTTAACTTCTTGTGTAACTAAGAAGTGACTGAATCAAGATTCAAGTAAAATTTGCCCCAAAATACTATTCTTAACCAAAATTCAATAAATGGCTATCAAGAACATCTATTGCTAAATTTTTATAGCTCGATTTGCTCTGAGCTTCTTGAGGGATGGAGTTCTTATTTATCTTTATATTACCAAAACCAGTGCTAGACATGGAAGAGCTACTTTCTTAAATATCTGTTAATGAATGGAGCAAACAGCATTCGGATAACAGTGGCAACAATTAACAGGGAAAAGATAACCCCACAAAGCTGAGCCCTCTTTCAGTGAGTGTTCACACATGACAGTCAACTTATCTAAATTTGTTCAAGGTTGGAATAGATCACGTGAAAATTTTCATTTTGGCATTTCACACAAAACACCAAATTACATATGAAATGCAGTTAATGTTTATAAAATTTATTTGATAAAACTGTATGGACAGGCATCCCAGATCTAGACATCTATTAATTTCTTTGGAACCTTTGTAAGTTCCCTCCTTTATAAAGACCAGACATGATGCTGTGTCCAAAGGCAAATATCTGGCAAATGACTTTAGCCCCCATTAGGACCTCATTTCCTTTCTAAAACAGGTAAGAACTGATTGTAGGTAAGATAATTTATGGTATAAGTGATTACTCATTTAAGTAAAACTTTGGTAGCATGTTTGAACTGAATTTCAAATATAGATTAAAATTAATCACCTTTTTAAAATTCTAGGCTTGCAACAAAAGTGGGGAAGGCTGACTATTGCTGAGGATTAGGTAACAAATTGCCCTCTCAATTTCCAAGATGAGAATTTATTTTTACCATCTATATTGTTCTATGTAGACAATCCAGAACATTCCAAGTAGTAAAACTGTCAAAGAAGTGCTTACTGAAATAAATACAAGAAGACTTCTTAGAAGAGAAGAAATGCATCCTTTTCTTTGCTCTAAAACAACTTAATAGGAAAAACTCTGAGAGGCAAAATGGAAAGACCTAGAATGAAAACCATATGTTAAACAAGAGCACTTCAAAGCTGGCTTAACACCCCAGTAAGTGCCATTTTGCCCAGTCTGCAAGAAGGCTGTTCCCGTTCTGGGAAAACAGTTCCAATACACTCCTTAACAATTATTCATTTGTCTTAAAATCACAAATGATTGATAGACTGCTGGAATCTTCAAAGGCAGAATACTGCCCTTCTGTTTGGAAACAAGACAATAGCAAAGCCTAATCTTAATGTGTAAGCATATATACTGGTAAAGACAGATTAACATCACCCTCAGTTTGTAAACTGATTTTTCCCCCTATTGCCACCAAAGGCCACCTAAAAACTATGTCTGATAACATAAAAAGTCATTATTTAAAATGAACTTGTTCCTTACAGTTTTTCATTAGCCACACACCTTAAATCAGGTTCTCACTTACCTTGAGACTGTTGAGCCAAACTCTCCTCTATTCTTTTGGTTAAACCTGCTTTAGTGTTCCTCTTTTTAGTGTTCCTCTTCTTTACCCTCTCCTTTCAGATTATTTCATACTTGCAAAGTTTCCTGGTTGTAGAGGAAGTTCTTATCAGATGTACCAGAATTAAGATAAGTGGCATGAGTTTTTGAAAAAGGAAGCCCAGCCCTTCATTCTTACCAATAATTCTCCAACTATATCAGAAAATGATGCATGGAGCCCAGACGCTTTTTTATTCACATAATATTTGCAGTCCTCACTTCAGAATCAATAAAAGTCATTTCACTTGCACTTAAAATTTTTTAAGAAGATTCTGAAATGTAGTTATGTGGAGGTCTTGTTTATTTGTTTGCTCGTAGGATTGCTAAAACAGTGTTCATTTCAAATACTATGTCCCAGTGCCCAGGTTACGTTTCCACTTGTCAAACCAGTGTCCCAATTTTGGTTCAGAAAATGTTAATATTCCTTTAAGTTGATAAGACAGTAATCTCCCAAAGTATATTCAACTTGACTTGCAACATTTCTGTGATCTTTTGGTAGGTAGAAAGAAAAACTGTTTCACTTTGTTTAATAACAGAAGCCAACATATTCTGGGCACTCACTAGGTCTTCTAACTGCTTTGTGTACTACTCGGTAAATCCTGACACAACCTGTGGGAGAGGGCTGCGATTCATCCTGTGTCACAGGGGAGGAACTGGAAGCAGAGGGGTAAAAAATCCCCTGCCCAGTGTGGCCTGGCAGTGTGCCTCCAGGACCTGTGTGCTAAACCACTGCACTTGTCTGTCTCACTTGAGTGAATAAGAAGTTTCCAACATAGAACCCTTATTTAACAACATTTCTCAGAGACCAACTCCACGGATTAAAAAAAAAAAGTAGAAAATGCTGAATTAAAAAGATGAGATCATAAAGCAATGGGAAGTTTGCCTTTTAAATTGTATTGGAACTTTTTCAACCCTAGGGGATTTTCTTTGAATCAAGTGATTTAAAAGAAGAAGTTTTCATTACTGAAACACCAACCAGACATTAGAAGAACAAGGCTGTCAATACAGGTTGGGCATGGACATTCTGCCAGGTATTGTCCTAAGCAGTGGGGATGCAATAATGAACAAACTCCCTTGTAGCACTTAAAGCCTCCTGAAAGAGGCTGCTGTACACACAGATCATTTCAGATCAAGGAGGTAAGGGCTAAGAAAGACATAGTTATACACAGATGACAGTGGGAATAAGGAAAAGAGGCATCCAGTTCAGAATGATCAGGAAAGGCAAGACTTGAGCTAAGCCTCATGGAATAAAAAGGAGTTAATCAAGGCAGAATAGAAAGGTTCCAGGCAAAAACCTGAGAGTGAAGGAGCTTATGAAGCGCTGTGAGGAATGAACCATGAAAGATAGTACAGTACTGGTGTTCCATTTTAAGCTGCAAAATCTGCCCCCTTGGAGTATGAGTCATGCCTAAAGAGAGGTACATTGTTATGGTTCATTGGGCAACTTAGAAAAGTTAGACTATGGAATGCTGCATAATTTAGCATTCCTATAGTAAACAGACTCACCATTCATCTTAAACTGTGGATACAATTTCACAAGTCAGATAACTGATAAATTATTTCAACAGAGTTCTTGTTCAGTTGAGGAGAGTACTGTAAACTAGGATTAATAAAAGACACTGAATTAGTCATTGTTGGATTCTGCCAACTTCTTCACTAAATGTTGAGAGGTATAATATATCACTAATTTTAAGTAACTGGCTATTTTGAAACTGTGCCCTGTAGTCAGGCTGAATGTGAGAATTGCTGGATAGCAGACACTCTCTCCCATGTACAGGGCGGTGAAGACCACCATGACCATTTCAAACCTAGCAGTGGGAGGGGACAGGGTGGTAGGTTAGCTTGAAGAGGAAGGCATTACTCTAAATCCTTTGTATTGAGGATATAGTCCAAGATGGTGGAGGAGTAGGAGGCTTTAGTTTTGTCTTGTCCCAGGAATTCAGCTAGATAGCTATCAAATCACTCTGAACACCAGTGAACTCAACCAGAGATCAACGAAAAGAATAGCTGCAACTCTACAAATAGAAAAGTGACTACTTTCTGTAAGGTAGGAAGTACAGAGAAGTAAATCTGAGGCGATATTTGGAAATATAGACTGCAGGGGGAGGAGCCTCCATAAGCCAGCTGTGGGAAAGTAATATAGCAGCAGAGCACAAAATCAGAACTTTTAGAAGTCTGCTCTGGTGAGGGACGTCCCTGCCTGAAAGGTTCTCAGGTGGAAAAGAGGGGTGGAATCCTAGGTGAGACAGTGTGGTCTCAGGATTCACAGGGTCACAGGAAGACTGGGTGCCTGAGTGTGGCAAAGTTCCCAGGCACAAGAGCATGGAAGCTGGCTGCAATCAGCCAGCCCAGGAGTGGGCTCTCAGCTCAGGGTTACCATATACCATGAATCACAGCACAGTTGGGTGACTGCTCTCTGAGCAGGGACCAGCAAGTGGCAAAACCTTGGCAAGAGCCCCCTTCCTCCCTGGGGAGGAGCGGTGTGGGTGCCTGCCACGGGAGTCAGCAGGGTTTGGAGAAACGCTCAGTCACAGGCTGGGTGAGCACAGAGCGTGGAAGGAGACCAGGCAGACAGGAGTAATTGACTGCTTTTCCCTGAGGGCGCACTTAAGAGTGGGACCCAAGCTTTTGGCTCTGGGGCTGGAGATTGGGAGGCTGCCATTTTCATTCTCATCCTCTAAAGCGGCATGGAAAGCCAACAGGGAACAAAAGCCACACAGAGCAATTTGGAGCAGATTACTTAGCCTGGCACCCTGGCAAGGGCAGTGCAAGTCTCTTCTGGGCAAAGACACCTGAGAATCAATGCAACAGGCCCCTCCGCAGATCAGCAAGAACATCTGGCTAACACCAAGTTTATCGATCATAGAGAACTGCAAAACTCCAGTGCTAGAGGAATACGGCACATGGAATTCATGTTTTTTTCCCATGATTCTTTAGTCTTTCAATTTTAATTTTTTTCTCTTTCCTTTTTCAACCAATTTATTATTTTATCAACTCTTTTAATCTTTTTTAATTTTCATTTTAACAGTTACATTCTACCCTTTCATTGTATTTAATTTTATTTTTGTACATATATAAGTTTTTCTTTTCTTTTCTTTTTTTTTTTTTTTTACAACTTTGGGATCTAGTTTTCTAACAAACAGACCAAACTACACACAGGATCCAGCGTATTGCTCTGTTCTGTTTACCTGCCTGATTATATATATATATTTTTTATTTTTAAAATTTTGTTTGTTTCAGGTCTCTTCTGATTTGTTTACTGTATATTTCTCTGGGGTCACTGTTGCCATTTTAGTATTTTGTTCTCTTGTCCATCTATTCTTCTCTGGACAGAATGACAAGATGGAAAAACTCACCTCACAAAAGAGAACAAGAGGCAGTACTGACTGTCAGGGACCTAATCAGTATGTATATAAGTAAGATATCAGAACTAGAGTTCAGAATAATGATTATAAAGATACTAGATGGGCTTTAAAAAAAAGCATAGAAGACACTAGAAGATCCCTTTCTGGAGAAATAAAAGAACTTAAATATAATCAGGTTGAAATCAAAAAGGCTACTAATGAGATGCAATAAAAAAGGGAGGCTCTAACTGCTAGGATAAATGAGGCAGAAGAGAGAATTAGTGATACAGAAGACCAAATGATGGAGGATAAAGAAGCTGAGAAAAAGAGAGATAAACAACTACCGGATCATGAGGGAAGAATTCGAGAGATAAGTGATACCATAAAGCGAAACAATATTAGAATAATTGGGATCCCAGAAGAAGAGGAAAGAAAGAGAGGGGGGCAGAAGGTGGTGTATTGGAGCAAATTATACCCTAATCTGCGGAAGGAAACAGGCATTCAAGTCCAGGAGGCACAGATAGCCCCCTCAAAATGAATAAAAATAGGTCAAAACCCCAACATATAAGAGTGAAACTTGCAAATCTGAGAGACAAAGAGAAAATCCGCAAAGGAGCTCGGGACAAGAGGTCCATAACCTACAAGGGTAGAAACATTAGACCGGCAGCCAACCTATCCACAGAGACCTGGCAGGCCAGAAAAGACTGGCATGATATATTCAGGGTGCTAAATGAGAAAAATATGCGGCCAAGAATACCAATCCAGCTAGGATGTCATTCAAAACAGGAGAGATAAAAAGCTTCCAGGACAACCAGAAACTAAAAGAATTTGTGATCGCTAAACCAGCCTGGCAAGAAATATATTTTTTAGAAGATTTTACTTATTTATTTGATAGAGAGATACACAGTGAGAGAGGGAACATAAGCAGGGGGAGTAGGAGAGGGAGAAGCAGGCTTCCCACTGAGCAGGGAGCCCAATGCGGGGTCAGGTTATGATTCCAGAACCCTGGGATCATAACCTGAGCCAAAGGCAGACACTTAATGACTGAGCCACCCAGGTGCACCCAGCAAGAAATATTAAAAGAGATCCTTTAAGCGAAGAGAGAGCACAAAAGTAACATAGACCAGAAGGAATAGAAACAATTTACAGAAATAGTGACGTTACAGGTAATAAAATGGCACTAAATTCATATCTTTCAGTAGTTACTCTGAAGGTAAATGGGCTAAATGTCCCAATCAAAAGACAAAGGGTATCAGATTGGATAAAAAAGAAAGACCGATTGATATGCTGTCTGCAAGACTCATTTTAGACCCAAAGATACCTCCAGATTGAAAGTGAGGGGAAGTGAGGGGGTGGAAAACTATTTGTCATGCTAATGGACATCAAAAGAAAACTGGGTAGCAATCCTTATAACAGACAAATTAGATTTTAAACCAAAGACTGTAGTAAGAGATGAGGAAGGACACTATATCATACTTAAAGGTCTATCCAACAAGAAGATCTAACAGTTGTAAATATTTATGAGCATTCCACCCTAAAGCAACAGAATACACATTCTTCTCAAGTGCACATGGAATATTTTCAAGAATAGATCACATCCAGGGTCACAAATCAGTCTCAACCAGTACCAAAAGATTGGGATCATTC